AATCTCTTTTATATATATATATATATATATATATATATATATGACATTTAGAGAAATTTTGTACTTCCAAATAAGGTGGATGCCTCAAACGAGAAATAAGACTCTCATAAGTAAAAACAACTTTAGATGAGAAACGAAACTTGTAAATACTCTCCGTTACACTCTAACACATCCAAATTAGTGAGTAAAGGAGATATGTGAAAATTAACATAGTCAAATACATACATATAGACATGAAATGCCTTACACATCGGTAGTTAGAAATTTCTCATGGGTCATATGTCAACCTGAACATATAGTTTTAAGTTTTTTTTTTTGGTTAAATCAGAAAATAATTTTATTCTTTATTCAATATTGAAACTTTTTTTTTTTTCGATTAGTATACATAAAGAAATATTTACAAAATTATCATTAAAATATTTTTCTTTAATTAAAATCAATTTTTATAAATTTTCAAAATATTTTGTTTAAAATTAATGTGCCTTTTATATTTTATTTTAAATTTTAAATTTTTATGAAATATTCTTCCATCTATGAAATTAGTTCTCTTAAATATGTTTCAAAAATATTTCACTTATATCAAAGAAGGGTAATGTAGTCTAATAGGTAGCAGTGTACGGAGGTCGAGTTTGATCGGATTTGATCTAGTTTAGGACCCAATTACAGTGATGATGTACTAATTGGATCTATTACTCGGAGTCAAGAAGTCGTCATGGATGACATTTAGAGTTGTAAATAATAATAAAAGAATGAAAATAAACTTTATAGAGTGTAAAAATCAGAGTTTAAATTAATTAATTAATTAACCTAGTAAGTAATGAAAAGATGTATATGGGCATCATTGTACTTCTGGGATTATCTTGAACATCAGCATATATAACTTGGTTATACTTTCGTTGGAGAAAAATAAATGCTGTCGTTCCTTCTTCTCTCAACGTCATTTTGAATATGATATTTAACACATTTCTCCTTAACTGTTCTCCCACACTCATGACCTAGCACGTACAAACACACCAAGAAGTTGATACCAAGAGGCCACGCCATCAGAAAAAATCACCTACGCAATAAAAAGTAAAGGATATATAATCTGGGCTAAGTTCAGCTCTTAACTTGTTGATTTAAAAGGGGTAAAATGTGCATATAAATTTTAATATATTTCATTTATGTAGAATTGATCATGGTACACGTGAATCCTGTGTAAGAAATAAATCAGTGTTTCTACATGAAATATGAAGATAAAGGAAGCGCATTGTAAGGATTTGGGTTTGGGGACTGGGGAGTGCTACAGAGTTACAAAGGACGTACACGCTATGGACCAATGGGAGGCATCCACGGTTTAAGGCCTTCAGGACCCCTCTGAGTAGAAATGTCCTGCTTCAGTTAAAATTCAGAAATAAATGGAGGGGACCACTGACGATTCCCTTTTAGTTGATTTTGAACTCTGAGCAACAAAAATACATAACATGTAACCTGCTGAATAGTAATTGGATTTGGAACAGACCAACGTCGCCGGACTCGCCACCATTCATTCTTATACTGATATGACAGCACATGTTGTTGCTATATGATAAACGGGATTTAAATGCAACAGATACCAAAGAAACACATCAAACCAAACCCCTTCCAGCTATGTTAAAGTTCCCACAATGCGTTTTGTCACTATTCATGTCCATAAATTTTGTATCCAGTACATGTAATTAATGGCTGACCACCATGCTCTCACTGTCTCCGTGTGTTTAATCAGCACGTGCATGGGAGATAAGTGTCTAGTGTCTACCCTATAAGTATAACTGGTTAAACCTAAAGAAGAGAGCAGACGTAAAATCTAGTCCAACATAAAGGTTTCGATATATACATAAAAAAACGTGAGAAACCATGTCAGACAGAGGCGACATATCTACTTGAATACAATATGTTTTTCACTCCTGATTGTTTATACCATCCCTAAACCACTGATTTTTTCAGGAGATTTACCGTTCACGACGAACGAAAGGTGAAGAAATTTCACGTTTGTTTCTGCTGATTTGTACCGAAAGAAAAGCAAAGAAAAACGGGAGAACGTCCTCGTGAAGTTGTGAAAAAAAGAGATGAAAGTCACGTAAGAAATGAGAAAACTCGATAATACCTCTGTTTCAAAGGCTGAAAAGAGATTAAGAATGGAAACACATAATCGATTATGCATGGCACATAATCAATTATGAACTGGCATAATCGATTATGCCTCAGCATAATCGATTATGCCAGCCCATAATCGATTATGTGCCGTGCATAATCGATTATCGGTTGACATAATCGATTATATTCCATACATAATCAATTATAGGTTGACATAATCGATTATATGCCATACATAATCAATTATAGGCTGGCATAATCGATTATGCCAACCCATAATCGATTATGTGACATACCCATTTCTCCCAACCTCAATTTATGCAATACCACCGCACCCTCACTTGGCACTTGCTTTTTCCTTTTACAATTATCTAACTATTGTATAAAATAATACTATTATTTATGCCAATACCTTCTTCGCTTTTTCCCCTGTTCAACTTCATTTTTTGAATTTTGGAAACCAATCAAGCATGCCAAATTGGAAAATCAACTAATATTATTATTATTATCAAGGTCACTTGCTTTTTTTGGGAAAGTCTTTTTTGGCTGATATAATTATTTCTTTTTTCAAATCTCTCCAAGGATGCTATAACAAAAAAAAAAAAAAGAATTTTTGACTTTGAAATAAGCTAACCCATATGGTGTAATTTAGGTGTTTGGCTTCCTTCCGTATGGTGCAAAGCATATGGCCATTTCAAAGGAGTGTCCTTTACAGATATGTTGATAGATGGTAGCTTTACTATCATGGTGTATATTGTTCCCAGATGTATACTTTTTAATTTTGCTTTTTTTAAGTAGGATTTATTATCCTCATTTCCCTCAAATATTTTCCCCCTATTTCTCAATGAACCTCCACTACATAAAAAACAACTTCTTAGTCTTTATTTGAGCTAGAGGGTTTCTTGGTTTTCAGATGATCATGGAACGGAAATTCCAGCCTGTTATCATCTTTAGCTTTAGTAGAAGAGAGTGTGAACAACATGCCATGTCTATGTCCAAGCTTGACTTCAACACCCAAGAGGAAAAGGAAACAGTGGAACATGTTTTCCAAAATGCAGTTCTCTGCTTGAATGAAGAAGACAGGAGCTTACCTGCTATTGAGTTGATGTTGCCACTTCTTCAGCGAGGGATTGCTGTTCATCATTCTGGACTTCTTCCTGTTATAAAAGAATTGGTTGAGCTTCTTTTCCAGGAAGGTCTTGTAAAAGCCCTCTTTGCTACTGAAACAGTAAGATTTTATCCACCTTCTGATTTCATTGTTTTATTTTTATTTTTTCCCTGTTACTTTTTGGAATGAATCTCAGATGCACTTTTCTTCAGTTTGCAATGGGTTTAAATATGCCAGCAAAAACTGTTGTATTCACTGCTGTAAAGAAGTGGGATGGTGATAGTCACCGTTATATTGGATCTGGTGAATATATACAGGTGAGGTTTGATTTAGTTTTTTAGGTGGTGGTTGTTAATTTATTCATTCTAGTGCCCTCATTTCTATTAATGATTTGCTACCTTTAGATGAGTGGAAGGGCTGGACGTCGTGGCAAAGATGAGCGTGGAATTTGTATCATAATGATTGATGAACAGGTGGGTATTCCAGTTGTCAAACTTGTTCTGTATAGTGTTCTGTTTGTCTTCTTATTTGTTTAGTATATAACAGTCACCTATTTGAAAACTAATTAGTTTTACATTCATTGGCTTACTGTTTATCTGATTTTTTTATGCAGATGGAAATGAATAACCTCAAAGACATGGTTTTGGGTAAACCTGCTCCTTTAGTTAGTACATTCAGGCTTAGCTACTACTCAATTTTAAATTTGATGAGCCGAGCAGAAGGCCAATTTACTGCCGAACACGTAATACGAAATTCATTTCATCAATTTCAATATGAAAAGGTTTCTACCGAACTATTTCCTTAAAGTCTTGTTAGCATTTGTTGCACTAAGATGTATATCTTATTTGCATTGCCTTACTCTTTCTCAGGCCTTACCAGATATGGGGAAAAAGGTGTCACTGCTGGAGCAGGAAGTAGCATTGCTTGATGCTTCAGGGGAGGTAATGTTTGTTCCTGAGCACCCAGTTTACTTTTCCTAACTATATGTTTGATATTCTATTAATATATTTACATTTGATTTATTATAACGTATAATTTATGTAGGCTGAAGTATCTGAATATCATAAGCTAAAACTGGAAATAGCACAGCTGGAGAAGAAGATGATGTCAAAAATAATCAGGCCTGAAATAATTCTTTATTTTCTTGTCCCTGGTCGGTTGGTAAGTGACAGTATGCATCAGCATGGAAATGATTTTGAATTATGTTTTGCCTCTCGAATTTTTTTTTATTTTTTTACCAACAGTATGTATGAGTTTATGACATACATCAATGTCATGTTGATATATATTAATTAGTAAATTAGTAGAAATTACACATTTGTTTGATTCATTTTTTCCCCTTTAATGTCTGCCTACAAATTTTTATATTTTACTTTTTTTTTATTGTTTACTGTGTCTTCTGCTCTTTTTCCTTGATGTATTTTACTGAGTTAGATGGACCTTTTAACATTTCAGATCAAAGTAAGAGAAGGTGGAACTGATTGGGGCTGGGGTGTTGTAGTCAATGTTGTTAAGAAACCTTCTGGTGGTGGTTATATTGTTGATACTTTACTTCATTGTTCACCTGGTTCAAATGAAAACAGTTCACGGCCAAAACCATGTCCACCCCGCCCTGGAGAGAAAGGTGAAATGCACGTGGTAAGTTGACATTTCAAGATTTTACATGATTTTATTCATGGCTTTTTGTTGTAACTCTAACTATATCAGAAAAAACTTACGTTGCTTTCTCTTGTCTGCTTCCTTCTGTATTAGGTCCCTGTTCAATTACCATTAATCTCTGCCCTTGGTAAACTGAGGGTATCTATACCTTCTGATCTCTGACCCTTGGAAGCCAGGCAAAGTATACTGCTTGCTGTACAGGAGCTGGGCAATCATTTTCCCCAAGGGCTTCCAAAGCTTAACCCTTTAAAGGTAATTTTTTTCCTCACACATGCCACAAGTTGCTGGTATGTTATTGTTCTCTATCATATAAACATAGAGTTAGATAAATACAAGTTGTCAA